GGTTCTGTTTTCTGTGGATACGGGTCACAATGAACCCGTTTAGCATCCTCCTTTTTCCCTACACAGCCAAATCAGGAATGCTCTTGCTTTCTTCTTGTAGTTTCCATGCTCTGCCAATCTGTCTTCACTCTTAAAAAGCTAGTTTTTCTGGCATCTTTCGTGGTGAAGATTAATACAGCATAACTCTTTCTATATTCACACTTTTTCCGTTCGCCAGGTCGCTTTTGCCCCAGCTCTGGTGGGATAATTCTGCAAAAACATGTCCCATCTACATAATGCAGAGTATAAATTATCAAAAGTAGAAACAAATCAACTAATTCTTAAATCCTAGTCTCAAACTAGAATAAGGGATGCATGGAAGCAGGAGAAGGATAGATCAGTAAGATGCTAAGAAGAAGTTACTAGGCAAAGCTTGGGACACAACATTCAAAAGTCACCTGTTGAAAAACACAAATTTATAACCTATAGGCTTGAATTATACAGCAGAGTGAACTTGTGAGACTATAGTCTTTTTTTTCTGAGAGACACATAAAAATGTAAATTCAATTATGAAACAAAAGAGTATGCCAAAATTATATTTTTTGTATAATTCTTTTTAACAAGAATTAGTTTAAATACACACAGTAATTTCACACGCCAGCAATGCTCTACTGTATTGAAGAGATTGAGAATGTTTAATCATGAAAGTTAGGAAAAATAACATAAACCAATAGTACACATTACCTATCAGATGCAGTATGGCCAGGAGATGACAGAAAAAATGAAGAGTCAACCTCGAACTGGGCCATTATTGCACCACAGATCCTCGAAAATCCATAAATACCAGGATAGAGCTTTGTCTTTGGCCAAGGCTTGCAGGACTCTTGGAGCACCAACCAGAAGCAATGGCTGAGGAGAGAAGCAGTGTTAAAAAGAGAGATGAGAGGTCCCTTGCAGACATCAGTTCCATAACCTGGATGCAACATATATATGTGATACTTTCTCCCAATGGCTAATCCTCTCAGACAGATGAATTTATTCCTGAGAGGCTGCAGTGTAATAATAAAAAAAATAATATACAATACTAAGAAATCTTAGAAAGTCAAATTTCAGAAGTATACTAAGTAAGTTAACAATCATCATGTGTATCTTTGTCATTAACTGCCCAGTGCCATCCACACATTATATATATATATTTGTGGCTTAGTCGCCTTATATTCTTAAATTGTCTTTTTCTTTTAGACTTGACATTTTACTAAACAGTGGTAGAATAGTATTTAGAGTATTAGCAACATCTCATGAATTAAATAGAAAACTTTACTCACTTGGAAACTATTTTGACAGTTTAACCTGTAAATAGAGCTCTACTCCATTGTCAGCTTTTGCCACTCCATTGCATGATTCCATTGCAAACACAGGGTTTTCCCAAAAGTTGGCGGTTATGTCTATGTTCTCATAGGTTAACGGCCCCTGTATTATTATATATATATATATATATATATATATATATATATATATATTCAAGGACCTGGCATAATCAAGGTCTGTATAACAACAATAATAAAATAGAGGTCTTGGAATAAATAAAAAACTTTAAATACAGAAAAATATAAGTTGTTAAGTTCACAACATTTAAATACATGGTGATTTCAATGCTACAAGTAGGAGAAAAGGGAATGTTTTAAATACATGAATATCTGTCCAAAGGATAATTAAATACTATTAGGCAGCACGGCCGCCATAATATTTTACTGATTAATCCCAGCCTAAGTCAGATCAAAGAAGGTAGTCCTATCGTCATTGCAGGTTTTCTCCGAGAACCTGCCTCCCTCTCCTGTACCGCTCACACTGGACAGCCGAAGATCATAAGAACAGACCAACTACCTGGAACTTGCTTGTCATGCAAATTAGAAGTAAAGAGAAAAGGGGCATCCAGAGAGCAGCAATGTACGTGATTGTTAGAAAGATATTAACTGACACATCAGACAGGCCGTGGCTTTTTTAAGGTGATGTCGGTGAAGAAAATGGGAACCAGAATTAGGAGCTCTTGTTAGAGGAAGAGCACCATAGAAATCGACATTTATCTAAGCAGATGACTCAATGAATTATCAGAGTAAGAATTAAGAGAAAATCTGTGCACTTGTTGGCTCCGACATCCGTACTGCATTTTTAAGACAAAAATAGTCAAAACAAAGTTTTTATTACTATGTAATTTGCATCCTCATGTAGAAAAATTAATTAATAAAATAAATATTTTTATAAAAAGATATTTAACGTTTTAAATGCCGCAATTAAAAATAGCTACTGGTACAGTATATATTTATTAGTAATGTTATTAAAAAAAACAAAAACAATGCTTCTCAGGCTAACCTCCTCAAAGATCCCCTGGGGTTATAAGTAGCATGGTTAACCATACATACCACACTACAAGCATCAGGCATCATAGATGCTCCAATTAATATTGATAGATGATGTATGTCACCGTTATGGTAAATATATAATCGAAAGTGTACTTAGGACAACAAATTTGCTGGATCCTGTAGAAAGAAACGTTATTACAGGCAGAAACAATGACTTAAGACCAACAAAAAATAAAATTATGGATAGTATAGCACCAGAGCACAGTATTGATCTTGTATATTAAAGGAAAACAATAAAATGAAAACCTAGCAACAGTGCAAGATAGATTGCAAACAAGTCAAGATCCTAAAGAATCGCTCACATGAGTATTTGAAAACATTATTCATTTAATTCTGGACCCCATTTTCTATGGGTAGGTAGCAATAATACAGTAGATACCTCTTATCTCTGGGGGACAGCAGCACATATAAATGGAAACATGCCCATGAAGGGTTACTTATTTGATTTGGCTTTTTATTCAATATAGTAATAAACTACATACATAAGGGCTTACTAAACTATTCCTCATTTATCCCCTTCCACTACTAAGGGAAATACCAATTTAATATTTTATTGACTAACATCAGACAATTTTATTAAGCAGGAGGGACCCAATAAGCAAGGTGTACAATGCAAAGCTTTTCTTATTTCAGTTCAGAATGGTTAACTGGGCAAAAGTTAGATCCCACCTTAAAGACAGAAGCAATACTCTGTCACTCACCTCTTCTATGACAAGATGCTAGTCCATTGGAGGGTTGGTTCCACTTACTGGCATGTGCACCTGTTACTGTATATATAATATATATTACTGCCAAGATTTAAACCATTTACAAAGAAAAAAATTGAATCTATATTCTGATAATCGAAAGTGCCACAGCAACTATATGACAAATTATTTAACCCTATTATAAGACAACAAGCTGCATTTCACCAGTAGATCACTCTGGAGGCTTGTTCTGTTGCATGATGCTCTGTGACAGCAGGGAAGAACACACCAAATATAGTAAAGAAGCCTTGCTTCTTACCTTCAAACTGTATAATCAGGTCCGTATTACTTAGTTAAAAAGTTCAATTCCAAAGGAAATTTTAAGTTATTACATATAAATTAAAAAGAGAAATCACAAAGAAACATATTACTGTTATCAAGAAATAGAGAACTATCAAGTAAATGTTTTTAACTTCACGTTTAAACACTGCAGAAAAAGTAGACCATCGCTAGCAAGCACCAACACTAAAATACAATGAGTAAAAAGTATCTCAGTAATTTCTATTATTCATCCATAGTTGGAAAATTCAGAAGACAACAGCCATTGTGCCCGAATATAGGAGGTGCAAGTGTTAAATTCCTGGTACAATAGTTGGGAACTTTTAGCTTTTATTAATGAACTTTTCTTTCATGGCTAGAAATCAAACAGCAAGAGTATTTTAACTTTGACTGAATCATCACAAGACTTTGAGTCAATCATAAATAGAGTACTGCTAACGAACTCGGTATTTCTGCGCATGCTGGGGAATGTTGGTTATAGAAGACAATATGATAGATAATGTCTCATTTGATTGTATCTTCTGGCACAGCAAGCTGTGCCAGAAAAGTGATTAAAAGCAAGGAGATCACGAATCATTTGTTGATGACCCATAATTTATGCTAAATAAAACTATGCAAGTATTAATGTTTGTATCATGCAAGAGAAAATGGGTAGTCATATATACAAGAATGAAAGTGTGTAAGTAGTATGCATATATATTTGGTTGTATGCATGACAAATATATGAACATAGCAGCATACAGACATTCTGGAAAGTACATCGATGACTTTGTGTATCTTTCATGTGTACAGTATGCCAACCATACATACCTGCAAGCCACTGCATCTACAGCACGTGTTTCTTTTATTGGGGAAAGATGTCTGCTGAAGCTTTCTAAGCGTCCAATTTCTGTTTCAGACTGTCATTCCAGTGCAAGTATGCAAGAGGAAGCATTTGTTTTAATGTTTTAAAAAAAGAAAAAACATTTTAAAATAAATACAGAACTTACTATTGAGGCTGCCAACAAATCCCTTGAGACGCTTTGCTTTCATCAGTGAGAGGGTCACATAAACACTCCCCAACAAACAAAGTCGACCTGTGCTCCATCAGTAAGAAAAAGAATTCCATCTGTACTAGAATAACAAAACTCATTTATATACATGCTAAAAGTTATATATCAGTGTTGTGTATATCGCTACATTGTATATATTTTCTAAAACATACCATCACAACAGTTGGCGTACTGTACAGCACATATTCCTATAGGGTAAATTATAATTTGACATAATAAACACAATGCTACAACTACGGATTTTTACACAGAATTTTAGTAGAGACATAATCATCCAGGCTGCTATGACAAAAATGTATGAAAATGCCCTCCAATGATGTCACCTTCAGTCATGGCGAGCCTGGCGTGTTAAAAACAAGCTGGATACAAAAACCAGTTGTCATATGCAGATGCTGTACATGCCAAGCATCTTTTTCGTAATTGCATTGGCACCGGCTGCCTCACCATGCACGAGCAATAAAAAAGGTTTTAACTTCATCGGGTTAGTACTCAACATACAGGGTAGTGTGGAGTGATCGCCTTCGTCGGGTGCCAGAGTGACTTGGACGCCTTTTTCAGGGTTGTCTTATGTTTCCTTTGTAATGTACAGTACCTTTCCATATGGTCTGATGATTACATGATATTTCTAGAAGACTACTGTATTGCATTAGTAAATTAGAAAGGAGAAACCCTTTAAAAATTCTTCCATAATCTAGACAACAGCAAGACAGTTCTCGACAAACCTTCAGCACTGCCGAGAGCTTGATTATTAAGAGCAAAGTCTCAGTAACACTGTTTCATTGATTCTGTGAAACAATGTCGCGGTCAGTATATAAAAATCCATTTCTTACATACTATTGTTCTTTACTTTAGAAGGCGTCGCAGTATTTTTGACTGGAAACTGCCCCATCATCTACAGTTTCAGACCGATAGTACAGCTGCAGGATTACAGACCTGGAGCGACTACTCGCCAGCATTTTCCATACCATGTTTGATCACCACCTCCAGGGTAAAAGACCAGAGGCATCCTTCATCACACCACCAAACCCTGGACATAGCGTCATAATTTTCCATCAGTGACCATAATAGTAAACAGGTTCTGTTTGCACCAACATTAAGAAAGAGTTTTTATCATTGACCCCTTATTAAAAGGGTCAGGATATGTTTTTATGACATACTTAAGCTATTCTTTTTCTGTATCTATCTTAATACATCTGAGTTCAATAATATCCCAGTTTTTTATTCACTCAGTAATGTCATGAATTTAATATAAATACCGGCAGTTAACATCTAGGATTAACTCCAAATTATTTACATGAAAAAGAACCAATCTTTAAAGAGGAATTAATCAAACAGAAAAAGTGGACTAAACTGGAAGCACTAAATCAAATAAGTTGCATGAATTCTGGAGATACTATAGATAGTACAGTACAGTACTTGCACTAGTAGTATTGGCTTGCGAGACAGAGTGTCCTGAGGAAACTAAATCACACAAAGTTTATTATTTGTAAAAAGTTTCAGTTTACATAATAAAAGATTCTTCTACTCCTGTGACCCAATCCATCTTCCAACAATAGTTATAATTCAAGTACAATCAATGAGAAAAGTTAATGAGACGAGTAGATTTATGACCGCCGTACCGTAGTATTATTAGAAGTAATATTTCATCAACTTATAATAAAAAATAAATAAGTAATATTGATTTCCTAAATCGTAGCATGTAGACGTGAAATAAAGAAAGACTGAATATTTTTGCAAAATTATGAAAAAGAAGAAAATTTTAAAGGCTTTTCAATTTATAAACATACCTGTACAATATACTAAAGAGAGTGTACTATATAGATAAAAAAATACATACAGTATAGAATTTATAGTGAGGGCAAACTTTAATATTAAAAAATAAGAGTCTGCTCAATATATGGGGGATACAGGTACAATACACTAATTAAGCTTGGTATTCTGACACACTCAAAATGATAGCCTTTTGTAATACATCTACTAACAACCCATTACAAAAACCACGATGGGAAAGCAGAAAGAAGAGATTGAGTTTGCAATCGCGGAACATGTCAGCCCAATAGGACCCACCAATTCAGGTCCAAGTGGATCGATATCAGTAATACACACCACCTGGCAAGAGAAAGAATTTGTGAATGCAAGATTTTATTTTAACCATTGTGGTACTCTAAACTTCGTAGCTTCATACAGTCCAATTATACTTTAAAGGAACTACAATATAAAAGTAAACGAGACGAAGCGACACAATCACAAATCCAGAGAAAAATCAAATCAGAAACTAATAAACTGAGAATTATCAGAAGATTAGGTTGCATCGTCACAGGACGGTATTGAAAGGCGCCACAAAAAAAAAAAAGGCTAAAAACATAACATATAGTCAACAGCCACCAGAAAGTACTGGTAACACCTGCTGTATACAAAGGTTTTTAAAAAATCTAAATTCATATATACAACTTTAAACCACATAAAGTATAGAATTTGTTTTTAACAGAAACAGTTTCTTTTAGTAAAAAAAAAAAAATAAGTTTACATACCAGCTTGTATTCTACCATTATAACTGCAGAGGGTGGTGATTATAATAAATGGAAGATACGTAAAGAAAATGAAGAATAAAAGCCCATCATTATCGCTTAGATTGGAGAAATGGACAATGTCATTCTTCAAATCATATAATGAATAAAGATGAGGAACTCTAATATAATTTACCCTGAGAAACAATCAGTATGTAATGATGAAAGAGGAAAGCAAAACGATACCAGACAATAAGCCAGTGTTTTGGTGCCAGACCAATATTTAGTTAGTGAATTTAGCTTCTCGTCAGTGTTGAGCCTCAATTTTTACTAAGATAATTTCTGAGGATTCATTTTAGATAGGAACTCACTAAATTATTTAACTATATGAAAGTCTTACAGCTTGCCCAACCATCCAGGACACTCTCAAGAAGAGCATCACACCCCAGATGTTGAGGAGACATCGCATCTGTTCACGTTTAATACAGTCATTAAATTGTCAAGTACAGTACAATAAAACAAGTTATAAATCATAAAGTTTATTTTCTATATGTAACAAGTTCAGCATATAACAAATTTGATTTATAATGAGGGATGTTTTAAACTTCAATTTATGTGGTTACAAAATTTTACACAACTTACATATACGCCTTCCAGCCATCCGAACTTGATTACTTTTCCTCGAACATTAGCTGCTGCGGCTTCAGGGTCTGCACCAGTACGTCGCTGGAGAAAACACAGGTCATCACGTTAAATACATTTATTTTGTTAAAATTCATACAGTAAAGGCATACATATATTGTATATACACATCTGCCGTGGATAAAAAGCATTTCTCTGTATCATCTGTCATTTAAAGTAGTTCATTCTACATGTACTATGATAATACGGTATAATAAATGATTATTGAAGCAAAATCACGTCTAACAAGTTAATAATACTGTAGTTCTTACCTGTAGAAAAGAAGAAAATACATGTTACATTTCAAAATTCATAATCATTCCGTTAATAAAGGAAATATTGGTAAAAGGTTCAAAATAAGATACTGTGTATACGTAATAAAATTTCATTATCAATAAATACGTCGTACTCCAATTTTTCACACATTTCACAACACCACAACTCTTACACACAATACACTACCACCACGTTAAGCCATCAATACCACCACTCACAAATTATACCAACACACATCACATCATATACACTAAAATATCACTCCACACCATTAATAAACACTATACCAATACAAAAAACTCACTGTAAACCATAATAGCACAATTCTTACACACTATACCACCATCCCTCTCCCACGCACAACTGACCTCACTCAGACACGCTTTCCAACCATATTTTGCCCCAAATTTCAAGGTTTTCCCAGACCAATGACGGTGAACCACATTACATACAGGTACTTGGTCTTATATGTGGTGAGGGTCGATATTTGGCAGCCATGTGAAAGATAATAATACATAGTTAATACAACACTCTCCTGTCTCAGCAACACACACATGGTACAGTTCCCTTCACTAGAGCGTTTACAGGGACTCATCATGTAAACATTCCACAAATCATTACATTGAGATTTATTTTAATATCATTTTACTTTGATTCCATAGTTTGTTTACAATTGCGAGTTTCCTTCTGTCGAATGTAAACAAAACCCAGGGCTGCCACACTGCACAAAACCTAACAAGCCCTTGTAAACGCACAAGTGAAGGGGACTGTACTATCGTGGACAAAAGTTGGCTCCCTCCCAAACTGAAGCAGTATCGACCCAAATGAGATAAAACAGCACACCCTCACCAGATGACAGTTAGGGTAAGTCAGTTCAGAGACTCATTCCCGTGACTCAGTTTCACCACAGGGAGCGAACTTTTGTTCACGACAGTACCTCCTCTCACCCACGATATGTAAATAGGCTACTTCCCAACAGCCATATATAGACACTACGTCACACGCTGTAGACTACGTGAAGAGCTTACGACACTTATGTCACGTATTATTATACACCTGGAGAATCAGATCAACACTGTTACCATATTATCTAAATTAGTTTTCTTCTCCAGAGCTCAATCTTCCTAACACACACACACACCAAAGGTTAAGTAAAACAATCGAACTACACCATAATCAAACAATAAAAACAATATTTAAATTATCTGATTTCCATAAACTAAAAAAAAAATCCAGATGGGGAAATAAAAAATATATAAAAATTCTCTAGTCAGAAATAAACTTACAAAATCCCACACTGAAAGAAAACAATAATTTACATCTTTCTACACGCTAATAATCCGTGACCCAAAAATACCCCCATTAAGATGTACAGTAAGTAATGAAGCCTCTTAATGGTGAAGGCGGGGACATAATTACAGTAATGTTATTGTAGACTTAATTACCTTGGCAACCTTCCTTCACTCCCCTAATTTGTAACAGGTGTGAGGCGGGCTAACGTTTACTCATACCAATATTCTTACTCCAATATGACGAGCTTGAGTTGGCTAGAGCTGGTATACAAGTGACTGAACACACACACACACACAGGCCTGTTTCCTGCATGAGTTGTGTAAGACATATCCCATTGCTCCATAGTATAGAAACATCTCGTGTATTCATAACAGCTAGACTAAACTTTGCATTTATCAGACTCGTTTGTTGGATTGAGAGTAGAGGACTTTAACCCCTTGAGTACGATGACTGTAGTCCCTTCACCACGATGAGTTCGGTGGATTCATATTCAATGGGTTAAGTCATCGTATTGAAGAAGTTAAACTCATAGTACTCAAGGGGTTAAAGTCATCGTACTGAAGGGATTAAGAGCATCAGGCAGTCATCACGTTTAGGGTCTCGCCAGCCACTAAGAATCAGAGGAAATCCGAGAGTGACCTATAAGGAAGTGACCGGTGTTCTCTCCACTGCACGGCCGGGAATTGAATTGAATTCAAACAGTTTATTTAGCCAGAAAAACACATATGCAAAGTGGATAATAATAACAATATTAACATGGCTGAGCCAGTTGAGAACCTGAGCTCTCTTTGAGGCACCTGATATATACTATACATTTATCTCAAGGAAGTATTATGTAACATTTAGTATCACCTGGAATAGTACAATAGCATGGTAGTAATATAAAAATTAGGAATGAACAGCTTTCTTCCGGTAACAAACCGCAGTGCTTATTTTTCTTCCTCTACTTCCCGGATTCTATGATAATTAATACATAGAAGAAGTATAACCACAGGAAATTTATATAATGTACCTCAGTTTACAATTATAACTCCCCATTACAGAAGCCGGAAGTAAGTGTGTGTGTGTGTGTGCGCGCACTAGGTAAGCGAGTGCAACCGGTCACAACCTGAGTTCAGTCTCTCATCCGTCACAGCCCGAGGTAAGTCTCTAACCCGTCACAACATGAGTTAAGTCTCTCATCCGTCACAGCCCGAGGTAAGTCTCTAACCCGTCACAACCTGAGTTCAGTCTCTCATCCATCACAACCCGAGTTAAGTCTCTCACCCGTCACAACCAGAGTTATTAATGCTCGCCTCACAACACACCCTAGGATCCTTACCAAAAACCTTTATGTTTATATATGAATTATTCTCTGATAATTAATTAACCGAAGCCTCTTATAAATAATGAAATATACTGAACGTGGGAATAATTGCAAAGGTTATCACATGACACAGGCAGCAATAATAATAATGATGACGAAAATGTTGAAGGGAATCACGTATAAAAACATAACCCGGCCACAGCCTTGATAGGAGAGACACACACACACACTCGCAAACACACACAACATAAGAACACATAAGGTTCTCTACCCCCCTCCTCCCTCTCCCCTCCTCACCTTCCCCTAGTCCGTCCATAAACCAACCGCCAGTAGAGCCTTTTATAACCCCCCTACAACCATCTCCCTCTCCTACAACCATCTCCCCTCCAACATACAACTAAGGTCAAATCATGTCCCCATTTATTATATTCTGATCTATCATTATGCCGAGGGTATTAGAGTACAAACGTTAGGTTAGAGTTAGGATAGAGTTAGGTTTGGTTAGAGTTAACTAGAATACCAGACTTTTAATGAATGTAACTAGACAACCACGCACGGATATCGTCTCCCATACAGCACCATCCAGTAGTAAATAAATAACACAGTATCGACAATGGCCCTATATGATCATGCCACGACCTTGAATCACTGTAAAGTCGGGTTCAAACGTTCGTTCCCGCCCAAAATGAAGCAGCTTCGACCCCCCAAATTAGATGAAACAGTCAGGGGTGTAAGTCAATTCGGAGACTCATTCCTGTGACTCAAGTCTCACCACGAGGAGCGAACTTCTGTCCCCGACTGTACAAACCAGCTCTTATTTATATTATAAAAGGTGCCATTTGTAAGTGGACTAAAAAAGAAAATCGTAGGTCAAGAACGAATGTAGAACGTTTGGTCAGCGTGGTTATGGCCTGGCCTGGCCTGGCCTGGCCTAACCTAACCCAATATAACCGAATGGATATAAAAGATGGACGAGTGGATAAAGAAGCATCAGGTTAAACAAGTCAAAGAAACATTCACAACACAAACAACAACACCACAACAACTATGCAGACGACTACCAAAATAAACTATTACCATTCACTACACCTACTATAATAAACATGCGAGGTGTGTGTGCGCGCGCGCGTCTGAGAGCGGGTGTGTGTGTGTGTGTCTGAGAGCGGATGTGTGTGTGAAAGTAAAGAGGACACTAAGTCAATATTTACCCCTCCCTCCCCCGCCTTGTTTATGTGGATTTTATCGTTTTGGAGGCACTGTTCACACACACACACACACGAGTCCTCAACTATCCACACGTCATCTCAACTATCCACACATTATATCCTACTATTATCCACACCAAAATACCACAGCTATCCACACTCACATCCTCCTCAGAGTCAATGCCAGAAGTGGATACCATTCCAACTATTTGATACGAGTAGAACAAGGTATATAAACAATGCAGGTATAAACAAACATTATTAATCACTTACAGGTACACAGGTAAATTTCTAACAGCCAACACAACACCCCATAACCTAACCTAACCTTTGATCATTGATTTTTATAATCAATCTCTCATATATTTGTCATTTATGTCACCTAGCCCGCACCTCACTCCATCACACTGGCCAAAACAATGTCTGCCTTAAGAGTATGACCTGACTTACGTAACACATTGGTACCCCTTGTGTAAACCACTAGTGTGTACCTTGTGTTATAATGTTTCTTATACCAGACTTTGATATATAGGGTTTATATATACCTGTATGTAAAATTTTTGTTGGTCTGTTTGGAAAGTCAGTTTTGGGTTGGGTAAGGTAAGGTAAGGTAAGGTAAGGTAAGGTAAGGTAAGGTAAGGTAAGGTAAGGTCAGGTAAGGTAAGAAAGATAAGGCAAGGCAAAGTGAGATGAGGTTAGGTAAGATCAGGTAAAATTAGATAAGATTGACAGCGACAATATTTTAATCTATCTCTCTCTCTCTCACAAAACCATCATTCACCTTAACCACTACAGTATACTCCCACTACAGTATCCCCCACCCTTACTGCACACTGCTTCAAGATAATGCTATACCCCCACCTGCCAGTCCACTAATAAAACAAAATAAAGGAATACAAAAAAATCTATCCACATCAAGCAAGAATAATGTCACTCACTTTGAGAAAAATATTATCTTTACGATT